CCAGGAGACATGCACACTCATGTTTACAGCAAAAACTGGAATAACCATTCATGCATTTACAGAAAAATAGAAATGTGGAGTAATCATAAAATGTAAGACTTCAGCAGTAAAAATGAGTGAAGGGCAGCCTCACACACGAGGGATAACTCGCCTACATAATGCTGAGTCTCAGAAGAGTCCATGCAGTACGAGTTCACTAGACAGGAAATTCAAAACCAGGCAGAAGTAAGTAATATTTGGTTTGGGGATATATATATACACCTATTGTAAAATCTTCAGAGAATATTCAGGGAATAGTAAACACAAGAATCAAGATAGAGGTTACATCTGGGGAACAGGATTGCGGAGGCTGCCACAGTAGCTTCTTCATAGGTCCTGTTTCTGACACCTATTTATTACTTGATCATAGTTCGTAAACTGACATTTTTCAAACTGTGACTTGTGAACCATTCCTGCTTGATTTTTAAATAAGGAAATAGAAAAGGAAATACCGGTTTATTGCAATGATCCTTAGAAAGACCTACTCACCTTGGAACAACGCCACAGCCAATTGTTATGAGTCATGTCAGAGAGACCGCTGGGGTGTCACAGGAAACAGCATTGGCTGGAGCTAGGTCATGTGATCACTGGCATCTCTATAGATTTTCTGGGATACAATGTCAATGTGATGTGCAAGGTAATTCTATCTGGGAAGGATTTGATGTGTTACATTTAACCTCACATACAACTGAATTAGCTACTTTTACCGAAGTGGAAACGCACATTATTGATCAATATAAGTTAAACTGGAAAACGCTATAAAGGGGAAAGAATTGATAGAATAGAGTGTGAATGAAGACACAACAGAGCTTCTTTAACACAAATTTCAGCAGCACATATCAACAGTGCTTTTTAGAGTCACCTCGATGTCCAAATCACTTCTACAAAATCTCATTCAAAAACACAGTGAAAGATGGGTCATTTATTCTAGGATGCCAACCAGACAGCCAGTTTGGGCATACTCTGTCCCTAGACTGGAGTTAACCATCGCTGCCTGCTGCATCATATCAAAATTGTTGTCAGGATATATAGGCTAGGTGTATAGGCTGAGGCATGAGATTCACATTTTTCTTCCATTTTGAAAAGTGATTTTATTAGGCAAATATTATTGGTTTTTTTTAAGATTTTTTTATTGGGGAATTGGGGGAAGGGAAGAGTGTTGCGGAATTGGGGAAGGGGAACAGCCAAGTTGTCCTTTTGTTCTTAAGTCTAGTTGTGGAGGATGTCACTTCATTGGCCCATGTTGGTATTATGATCATTGTGTTCTTCCTGATTGAGGAAGTCAGTCGCTGGCCATTGGATGGCTGCTCATGGCGGCTAACGGTAGACCACAGCAGCCCACTGCAGCCTTCACTGTCGCTGGCCACTCATGGTAGCCCAGCTCCAAGTTGAGCTGTTGTTCACAATCTTAGCTGTAGAGGGCGCAGCTTACTGGCGCATGTGGGAATGGAACTGGCAGCCCTGTTGTTCAGAGCTCACACTCTTACCAATGAGCCACTTGGCTGGCCCCTAGGCAAATATTTTTGAAGATGATGTTAAGTAAGAAAATTGGCATTTTAGCCAATATGTTTGACATTCTTAATGAAGTAAATTTGAAAAATCTAAGGAAAAGCAAAGATAGTTATTGTAAAGGCATTATTGTTATGGTGCTGAGTCTTTAAACTATGTGATCTAGCTACTATATGTTCTCAACTTAGTTGCCAGTTATTGTAGGAAACATTGTTATAAAGGCATCTGCAATAAAAAATTACAAATATTGTATCTCCTTTCTCTGTCTCAAATTTTAATTGTTACATTCCAAAAATGAAATTTAAGGCATTAAGGAAAATAATAAAAGAAGCATTTCAATTATAAAATCCTGAAACAGGGGTGGCCAGTTAGCTCAGTTGGTTAGAGCGTGGTGCTAGTAACACCAAAGTTGCCGGTTTCATTCCCACATGGGCCACTGTGCGCTGCGCTCTCAAACAACAGCAACTTGTCTGTTCCCCTTCCCCCAATTCCCCAGTGCTGTTCCCCTCCCCCAATTCCCCAATAAAACCTTTAAGAAAAAAGACACAAACAAAAAAACCCTAAAATCCTGAAACAATATTTAATTGAAATTTTTATTTGTATGTATATTCTTTGACACTCCCCCTTTCCAGAGGTGGAGTAATTCCCTCTCTCTTGAACGTGGGCTGGACTTAATGACTCACTTCTCATCAGGCTGATGTAATGGTGTGACTCTGAGCCTGAGACCTAAAACTCACTGCAGCTTCTGTCTTGGTTTTTCTATCTCCTCTCTCTCTCTCTCTCTCTCTCTCTCTCTCTCTCTCTCTCTCTCTCTCTCTCTCTCTCTGTCTCTGTCTCTCTTCCCTATCACTTGATTTTAGGGATGAAGCTACCTAGACATTAGCCACCTTATGGCAAAGTCCACATGGCTAGAAACTTAGGCCTCCTAGGACCATCCAGGAAGGAAATGAGGCCCCTTCCAACAGCCCTATGAGTGTCATGTTTCATGGAGTCCTCCAGCCCCAGTCAAGGCTTCAGATGATATAGCCCTGGCTGACAACTTGACTGCAACCTTGAGAGAGGCCCTGAACAAGAAGCACTCAGGTAAACCTCTCCTGGACTCCTGACCTTGGGAAACTGTGGACGATAATACACATTTGTTGCATTGAGCTGCTAAGTTTTGGTAATTTGTTATGCTGCCACACATGAGTAATACAGTATCCAAAGAGAGAATGAATTATTGTACTTTTTCATTTGCTCTAAATTAAGTATAAATATTAAACATGTCATTTAGTTTTAAGATTCAAGAATTTCCATGGCTAATAGGATGCATTTTATTATTATTCACAGCAATCTATTTACTTGAACTTCATTTCCAAATGCAACTCAAAAAAACACACAGGGAATAATAGGCCATCCTAGGGCCGGCCAAGTGGCGTGATGGTTAAGAACTGGCTTGGGATGCCAGAGGGCCCTGGTTTGGATCCCATATATGAGGGCCAGTGACACTGCCCTCTATAGCTAAGATGCTGAACAACAGCTCAACCTGGAGCTGGGCTGCCATGAGTTGCTGGCAACAGTTAGGCTGCAGCCCCTGTGGCAGTGGGTTGCCATGGGCTACCATATGTAGCCAGCAGCCAGCGTGAGCGGCCAGCAGCCACAGTGAGCGGCCGTCCAGAAGCTGGCGAGTGATCTGCCTTGCCCGGGAAGAGCGCAATGATGGTGCCAACTTGGGCCAGTGAAGCCACGTCCTCCACAACTAGACTGAAGAACAAAACGACAGCAACTTGTCTGTTCCCCTTCCCCAATTCCCCAGCATTGTTCCCATCCCCCCAATTCCCCAATAAAAAAAAATCTTTAAAGAAAAAAAAAAAGAATAGGCCATCCTAGGCTGATTCTATGATGGTCTCCAATAACCACCCTGGATAGTCACCTTCCCCCAGTTATTCAATCAAACATTAATATAGGTGCTGGGAAGGGATTCTGCAGATGTAACTAAGGTCTCACATCAGCTGACCTTCAGACCTGGGGACTATCCATGGGATTGTCCTAATCAGGTGAGTACTGACTGGGGTTTCTCTTTACCCCAAAGATTCCAAGTGAGAGGGGTTCAGTGTGACGCATTTCTCCACTGGGGGCTTTGAAAATGAAAGGCCACGTGGCAAAGACTGCTGGTGGCCACTAGGTGTTCGGGGCATTCCTCCCAGGGCTCCTCGCTGACAGTTGTCAAGAAAACAGGAACCTCAGACCGACAACTGGAAAAAACTGAATTCTGCTAACAATCTCTATGTAAGCTTGGAGGAAAATCTTGAGCTCAGGATGAGCACACAGCTTTGTGACACCCTGACCAGAGAACCCATCCACACCAAGCTTGGGTTTCTGACTAAGGAACTGTGAGCAAATAAGTGGGTGTTATTTTGAGCCACTAAATTGTGGTAATTTGTTACACAGCAATAGAAAACTAACACACAGGCTCAACTGTGCAACAAATAAGCACACAGCATTCTTTCCACTGGGATGAATTTATAAACTATATGCACACTAGTTTGCAATAAATATTTTCTAACTTTTTTTGTATTTTTCAGGTTATGGTTTTACATGCTATAAATTTTAATTCATTCATTCACTGAACAAATAATTTAATGCCCACTCTATCAGAAATGGCTTCAGATGCCGGGGTACTTTGACCTAAGTAGCCAAAATCTCTGTGCTCACGTGCCTGATATTCTAGAAGCTTCCCAGAGTGAGAGGGAGCCACTGGAGAGTTTTTCATGAAGAAATGACACACCCTGACTCACATTAGCAGGATCACGCACTGATCCCTGTGGGGAGAATAGTCCTTGGCTGGCAGGTGAGGGGTGGCACTCGTGCCACAATTGGGAGTGAGAGGGTGGTGGGGACTAAGGGGAGAAGAGGGCCTGAGGGGTGAGAGAGACAGAGAAGAGCTGGAGAAACAGGGGGGGAGGGAAAGGTGAAGAATTCTAAAGCAGTGGAACTCTCTGATTTAAATATGCTGTTTCATAGGTCTTTAACAAATTACCTAGGGCCTAACAGGGTGTTCTGTGGAGCTGCCTAAAAACTAATCCCCTTCTGATGCTAATCAGTTTAAGAATAATAATGTGTCCCAATAAAATATACACACTGCTTATATGTAAATTATTCATAAAAATAGGCCATATAGGAAGACTGGTAAAGGGCATTTTAACTGCATTGAGCACTTGCAACTTTGAGGTTGTACATAGTCCTGTTGGAAATACATAGTAACAAACTGCTTCCATGTGCTACTTTGTATTGAGGATGCTGGGACTCAACAAAGAAACTCAGGGCTGCGGAACGATCATTTTACAATAGAAACATCCAGAGTCACAGGTGTACCGTCTGGGAAAGTAAGACTTAGGAGCTTTGAGAGCCTGACTGCCATGCTGTTTAGACACATTTCTGTACCAAGGGGCCCAAATCACGATTTTACAGATTAGCTTCCTGATGATCAGGGGTTTCCAAGATTCTTACCCACTGTGGTTAATAAACAACAAGGAGACGGGGCTCTGTGAGAATCTGTAAGTGATGTTTTCAGGCACAGCCTCTCCAGGATTAAAGAGAAAAGCCCTGTCCTTCCTCTAGGTCCAGGGCGAGCTCCCTCTCTGGCATCAAGTTCCCTGGGGTGTCTTCTTCCAGAAGAGTCCAGGGAGAGGTAAAGGGTGGGAGGCAGGGCGTCCACTTGAGGGAGAGGGATTCCGGGGAGAGAAGAGGAGGGAAAGGGGCTGAGCCCAGCCTGGTTTCCTCAGACAGCCCCTGGGCCAGGACTCAGGGAGACAGCGCGACACAGGCTCGGTGCAGGAGGAGGGGTCGGGGCACAGTCCCAGGTCCCCCAGGGCGAACTCTGGAGCGGGGAGCTCAGTGTTGGGGAGTCCCCACGTCCCCGCGGTTTCACTTCCCCTTCTCACAACCTGTGTCGGGTCCTCGTGTCTGGAAACTCATGACGCGGCCCCAGTTCTCACTCCGGTTATAAATTCTCCACTGACCGGCCTGCACGCAGCTTGTCCCCAGACCCCGGGACATCATGGGCCCCGGGACCCTCGTCCTGCTGCTCTCGGGGGCCCTGGGCCTGACGGGGACCCGGGCGGGTGAGTGCGGGGTCGGGAGGGAGCGGCCTCCGCGGGGGGAAAGCGAGGGGACCGCCCGATGGGGACGCAGGACCCCGGGGAAGATGTGTCCCCACCGCTCCGGCCCCGTGTTCCGCCCACTCCTGTCGCCCACTCGGGTCTCCCGCCCCCTCCCCCCTCAGTCACGCCCCTTTTCCGCCTCCCGGGACCCCTTCCCCCGCCCCCTACCGGCCCTTCGTCCTCGGACCCGGGACCCGCGCCGGGAGGAGGGTCGCCGGTCTCAGCTCTTCCCTGTCCCCAGGATCCCACTCCCTGAGGTGTTTCGGCACCACCTGGTCCCGGCCCGGCCGCGGGGAGCCTCGCTTTGTCGCCGTCAGCTACGTGGACGACATGCAGTTCATGCGGTTCGACAGCGACGCGGCGAGTCCGAGGGCGGAGCCGCGGGCGGCGTGGGTGGAGCACGTGGAGCCGAGGTTCTGGGAGCGGAAGACAGCGGACCTCAAGGCGGCCGCCCGAGTTGCCCAAGCGGAGCTGAAGTTCCGGCGCGGCTACTACAACCAGAGCGAGGCCGGTGAGCGACGCGGCCCGGGTCCCGGTCACCCCTTCCACCCCTCTCCCCCCCACGGACGGGCCGGGGTCTCCCCGAGTGTCCGGGTCCGAGCTTCACCCCGAGACTGCGGGACCCGCCCGACCCCCGACCCGGGAAGAGCCCGCGGGGACTTGGACCCCGTGTCATTTTCAGTTAAGGCACCATCACTGCGGGGCGGGGTCAGGGTCTCACACCATCCAGTGGATATACGGCTGCGAAGCGGGGTCGGACGGGCGCCTCCTCCGCGGGTACACGCAGTTCGCCTACGACGGCGCTGACTACATCGCCCTGAACGAGGACCTTTCCTCCTGGACCGCGGCCGACACAGCGGCTCAGATCACCCAGCGCAACTGGGAGGCGGCTGGTGCGGCGGAGCGCCTGAGGGGCTACTTTGAGGGCAGGTGCCTGGAGGGTCTCCTCAAATACCTGGAGATCGGGAAGGAGACGCTGCTGCTCGCAGGTAAGAGGGGCCTCGGGGCTCCTACACGGAGAGGAGGAAATGGGGTCAACACCAGGACACCCTGTCTCCCTGATATCGGGGATGGAGTCCACCTGGGTTTTCAGACATGGTACCAGAGAGGGACCCAAAGGGCCACCTTCTCTCAGGGACCATTAGGGGTGCAGCCTCTCGGGGGATGGAGGGGAGACCATCTCAGAAACACCTGATCAGTGGTTCCCTTTGGCCCTGGCAGCTGCCCTGGGAACCTGGGGGACTTTCTCTCTCAGGCCTTGTTCGCTGCCCCACACACAGTGTCACAGGTATGACCCCAGCTTTTCTGAGTCATTTGGCCTCCACCCAGGTCAGGACCAGGAATCCCTTTTCTCTCCATCAGAGACCTGTCTCTGATCCTGGGCTGTCTCACCCTGATTCTAGGACTTTGTAAAAAATAGAGATGATCCCGGGTGCCTGTGTCCAGTGTGGTGTCTGGGTTTTGTGCTCGCTTCCCCCACCCCAGTGTCCTGACCATTCTCAGGATGGTAACGTGAGCACTGCTGGAGGGTCCCACGAGGGATGCAAAGGTCCTGAATTTCCTGACCCTTCTCCTCAGACCCTCCAAAGACACATGTGACCCACCACCCCACCTCTGACCGTGAGGTCACCCTGAAGTGCTGGGCGCTGGGCTTCTACCCTGCGGAGATCACCCTGACCTGGCAGCGTGATGGGGAGGACCTGACCCAGGACACAGAGCTCGTGGAGACCAGGCCTGCGGGGGACGGGACCTTCCAGAAGTGGGCAGCTGTGGTGGTGCCTCCTGGAGAGGAGCAGAGATACATGTGCCATGTGCAGCACAAGGGGCTGCCTGAGCCCCTGACCCTGAGATGGGGTATGGAGGGGGCCGTGGGCACAGAGCCTTTTCTCAGGGAAAGCAGGGGCCTCTGGAGGACTTCAGGTCGGGGCTGAGGCCTGGGGATCAGGGCCCTCACCTCACCTTCCCTTCCAGAGCCGCCTCCTCAGGCCGCCATCCCTGTGGGCATCATTGCTGTGCTGGTCCTCCTTGGAGCTGTGGTCACTGGGGCTGTGGTGGCTGGAACTGTGCCGTGGAGGAGGAAGCGCTCAGGTAGGGAAGGGCAGAGAATGAATTGTCTTGTCCCACTGCGGGGTTTCAAGCCCCAGGTACAACTGTGTCCTGCCTGTTAGTGAAAAGAACCATCCACACACATGTGCTTTCCCAGTCTGGGGCCCTGTTTGCTAACACTTACTCTTTATTAATGCACGTGTGAGAATGAAGGACAGATTTATCACCTTGATGATTCTGGTGATGGGGACCTGATTCTCAATAGTCACAGGTCAGAGTGGAAGGTCCCTGCTGAGGACAGACCTCCAGGAGGGCAGTTGGTCCAGTCCCTACACATGTACTTTCCTCAGTCCTGATCCTGCCGTGGGTCTGTAGTCACAGTTCTAGAAACTTCTCTAGAAACAAGCCACTAACCTGAATTTGTTCATGATTATCTTCTTCTACAGCATGAAACAGCTGCCTTGTGGGGGACTGAGTGATGCAAGATTTGTTCATGCCCCAGTTTGTGACTTCAGGAACCTCTGATCTCTCTTTCTGCAAAGGGCATCTGAATATGTCTGCGTTTCTCTCAGCATCATATGAGGAGGGGGGAGACTGCCCACCTCCTGCCCTCCATGCTCCCTCTCCACACTGAGCCTCTTCCCTGACCCATTGTCCTGTTCCAGCAGAAGCTGTTTGCATCCCCACTTTTACTTTGTGTTACACAGAGCAGCAACTTCTTCCTTCCTATTGAAATAAGCATCTGGATATGGATTTGTTTTTTCAGTTCTTGATGAAGGGTTGATGGGTTAATTGAAGGAGAAAATCCTAAGGTTTCAGAGGAAATAAATGGAAGCACTGAGAACCTCCCAGAATCAATGTGTTGGCTGTGCTGAGTCTATTGCAGGTGGAGACAGGAGAGGCTGTGAGGACCGAGCGTGGACGCGGACTGAGCCCATTCAATGCTCGGCATTGTGGGCATCAACGTGGTCACTCCTCGGCTGGGTGACGTCTCTGCTTCTTTGTCCTTGTCCTTTCAGTAGAGCCTTGTCCCACCAGGACCTGTGATCACAGAGACTTGAACATCCCCCAGGCCTGGTCTTGTCAGTGAGGGCTTCGTGTGTCCGGGTCAGCCTAGGCTCAGGCCTGGGCTTGCCCTCAGCCCCCATCTTTTGGGTGTTCATTAGTTGTTTCTGTAGAGGAATATGACTGGTTTTGTTCTTGTTATGAGTCCTGGTTTCATTCTCCTCTGGGTGTCCCCTGTCTGTCAGCAGCAGGAGGTGTTTTGTCTGTCATTGTCCCCACAAGACCCAGCGGGACCCTGCACACAGGAGTCTGTGGATTGAGAGATGAATTTTCAGGCTCATCCAGCTCTTGCCTCCTAGGGCTTGATGATTCTTTCTATCTTTTCCCAAACTATCAGAGGAACCAGATTCTGGAATTAGCAGAGGAGGGATCCCGTAATTTCTCATCTTAGATAAGTTCCTGCTGGAATTCTGCTCTGCTCGCCCGCCCTCTCTCCCTGCCCTGAGCTCTAGTGCTGGCTCCGGTCCAGACTCAGGGGTTTATGAAGCAGAGTCTACTTCAGATTTATATTCAGTTGGAAAATAGGACCCATAAGTCAAGGCTCACTGTTTCCTGAAGAGGGAAATATAACTGTGCTGCGGTGTGTAGGAGGGCAGGTGTGGGAGAAAGAAGGAGGGAGGGGAGGAGAGCAGCAACCGTGAGAGAAATGGAGCTGGCACTGATGCCAGCGTGAGGGGACTTGGTGCTGTAGCTGCCACAAAATAGCATTTGACCTGAGGCTACATTAATAAAGACACTGTCTCTAGAACAGGGAGGCGCTGTCACTGATCACTCACTGACACTGGCTGTGTGCCAGATGTGTGACAGTTTCTGCATCTGGGAAACATCACTGAAGTAAAGTCAGAAAAATGGATGGACTTGGGGAGCGTCTGTCCCAGGGGGAACAGACAGACTAGATCCTATAAGCACAGAATATGAGGAAGGTGATTCTGTCAGAAGGAGATAAGGGTTCCGGGAGAAATGCAGTGGAGTAGGGGCTCCAGAGAGTGGGGTGTGGGGACAGGGAAGACGGCTGTGTTGATTGGGGTGGTCAGCGGGCCTCACTGGGAAGCTGACCTTGAGTGAAGGATATGAGGAATTACCCACGAGGACATCTGGGCACGTTCTTTCCAGGCAGGGAAGCTGCAGTGGGAAGGCCCTGGGGCAGGAGTGTGTCTGGTTTTGGGAAGAGCAGGGAGGCCAGTGTGGCTGCAGCAGAGAGTGATGGAGGAGAGACAGGTACGGCCAGACCACGTGGCCGGGAGGACGTTAGAGGGCAGTGACCTGTGCTCAGAGTGAGGTGGGGGTTACAGGACAGTTAGGAGCAGAAGGGGACATGGTGTGATGTCCTTTCAGAGGACCGCTGGGGCTGCGGTGCTGAGAACAGACTTGGGGTGAGGGAGGCCGCCGGGAGCTGGAGGAATCTGCAGGGTTCCGGGCTGGACCTGCTGCCCCTGGGGGTGAGTGGGGGAAATAGTGGGAGTGGGGTTCTGGGTACTTTCTGAGGTGGACATCACAGCGTTTCCTAATGGGTCAGTCTGGGACATGAGAGTCAAGGACCCCACAATCTCAGAGGGCACAAGTAGAAAGATGGAGTTGCTGTCTGCAGAGATGGGGAAGCGTCTGGAAGGAGCAGATCTGAAGGGTGGGAGCGTCACAGACATTCATTAAGAGATGTTGGAGCTGAGATGCCTGTTAGAAATACAATGAGGTCATCGCACTGGCAGTTGGGCTGATGAGTCTAGGAATTAGGGGAAATGTCTGGGCTGGAGAAATAGACTTGGGAGGTGACACATATAAATGATATTAAAGTCTTGAGCACAAATGAGGTCACCAAGGGAGCGATGGCTGTACAAGAGAAAGGAAAAAGACTGAACCCTGGGCCCCCAGTGCTGGGATCTGATCAGACCACACACCCGAGCAGATGGCACAGTTTGGCCCCATGTCAATAAGGCACGTAGACCACAGAGGCCCAAACTTCCCTGGGCACAGGAATAACCTGGACATCTTGTTAAGACCCAGAAAGTCTGGAGCAGAGCAGAGATCCTGGATTTATAACGAGGTTGGTGCAGCTGCTGGTGTTCAGATCAAACTTTTAGTAGCAAGACCGTCACCAGGATTCCCACAGGGTTGTGTGTCAGCCTCACTTGCAGGACTTGTTACATAAGTGATTGCTGGTCTTGTGCCTGATTCTCTGAGATGGTGGGTCTGGGAGAGGCCTGAGTGTCTGTAAGCCCATAATCTGTCCTGGGGCTCAGCCAACTTGGGAACCTCTGAGGTCAGTGGTCAGAGCTCAGGGTGGGAAATGGTCTTAAATACACTTTTAAAGGTGTTCTTTTCCTCAGAAAGGGGAGGACATATATCATCAATTATGAGATATGATGTTGTGAGTTACATGTTGTTCTTTCTACCATGGGGTAGAGTCAGATGGAAGATTTAGGAGTGAGTCACAGGTCAGTATAATAAAATATGTGAATGCTCGCTCCTGAAACTATTCCCCAGATTGATTTCTCAAGCCAACAATGGAATCCAAACTTTTCTATTTAGATATAAAGTCTATCTATCTATCACCTATCTATCTATCTATCTATCTATCTATCTATCTATCTATCTATCATCTATCATCTATTTATGACATTGGGGGTCTAATACTATTTTTGGGGAGAACACAGAATAGGCTTGAGGCCACACAACCAGGAACAGATCCACAATCACCCCAGGTTGGGTCCCATGCGGGACCCACTGTCCCTGCTGCTGAGCACACGTGTCACTGCTCACACCACTGACATCCATTTGGACACCAGTCCCTGCGGCCATGACTGCTGTCACTGCTGCTCCTGAAAACTTGTTATGTTACTGCCAAATGCGTTCTGCACAGTTCCAGCCTCTGTGTCACCACGTCCTGAGTCAGAGTCTGGCATCTGGTCACCTGATGGTGGAGCTTCATGCCGTGTCCAGCTGCAAGAGTGTTGGGGACAGTGGGTTTCCCTGTTTTATGGAGTGAAGTGGCCTCTGCCTCTCACCAAGACTCTAAGTGTTGAAGTTTTCTAATGTAGGAAGAGAGTTCAGGTGCTGGGGGTGAGGGAGAAAGAAGGACTAATTTCAATTCTTAAAGCAAAGATATGAACTGGAACTTTCTCTGGTGTTTTGTAGGCACTCAGGGTTGGCTGGAAGAACAGGGACTAATAAATGATATCTAAGGTAGAGGCTTACTTGCCTACTCACTGTGAATTTCTCTGTGGGATGGTGAAGGTTTTTCCCCTTCATGCAACCAATTTTCTGATGCTCTGACATCACCTGGGTGTCCTACAATCGGAATCCTGCCACTACCTGTAGTCAGCATCAGACCCCACAGGTTACAGGCTCCATCCCACAGACAGCCTTCACTTAGGACACAAGTCATAAGTTTCAGGTCCCCATGTTACCTGCACTCCTGTCTGACTTGGGTAGTAAATGGGGGTTCCCCATTTCAAGTTCAATAATTTGCTAGAACAACTCATAGAACTCTGGAAAATGCTAAGCTTACTGTTACAGTTGATCATAAAGGATACAAGTGAGCAACCAGATGGAGAAGTCCGTAGGGCGAGGTCGGGAAGGGTCCCAAGTGCAGGAGCCTCTGTCACTGAGTTGGAGTGTGTCACCCTCCCAGCATATGGATGTGTTGACCAATTCGGAAGCTCTCTGAATTCTGTTGATTTAGGGGTTTTTTTGTTTGTTTTTTTTAATGGAAGTTCCATGATGTAGGCATGATTGATTAAACGATTGGTCATTGGTGATTGAATTCAACCTCCAGCTCCTCTCCTCCGAGGTCAGGGAGTGAGGCTGAAAGTTGCAACCTTCTAATCATGGCTGGTCTTTTTGGTGAGCAGCCCCCATCCGAAAGCTCTCTAGGACCCTCAGCCAAGCGGCATCTCGTTGGCATCCCAGAGACAGTCTTCTCACTCAGGAGATTTCAAAGGTCTTAGGAGCTCTGTGTTAGGAACTGGGAACAAAGATCAAATACTTTATTACACCACAGGTCTTTGACCACAGATCCATTTATAGCAAAAGGACCGTAACAGTTAAAAATGCTGGCACATTCGGCCGAGTGGCTCGTTGGTTAAGAACTGGCTTGGGACGCCAGAGGGCCCTGGTTCAGATCCCACATATGAGGGCCAGTGACACTGCCCTCCACAGCTAAGATGCTGAACAACAGCTCAACCTGGAGCT